TATCTCACGTATGAAGTTCACAATACGGTTCATGCTCCTATGAGAATCTAATGCCATCGCTGATCTGACGGGAGGTGGAGCTCAGGCGGGGATTATCTCTCACCAGCTGCCCACCTTCTGCTGCGTAGCCCGGTTCCTTACAGGTTGTAGACTGGTACCGCTTGGTGGCCTGGGGGTTGCAGACCCCTGCCCTAAAGTAATCACTGATATGTGTTTATTATAACACACTTGATAGGGAACTCTGAATTTCTTCTCTGGTCTACGTGGACTTTGTTTCCATTCTTTCTTCTATAGTTGACGCACATCTTTAGACTTTATGATGAAAGGGTTTGGAAAGAATGATTCATCATTAGCTTCACTCTATAGCCTCATAAATTTCCTTCTCTTGACCTAACGAATCATCATCATTACTAATTATGCTCCAGAAAATAAACTGGAATGCAGTACAGGCTGGCTTCATGTAGAACACATCAGTGCATAAATCAGAGAGGCTGCTGTCAAAATGGCTTAAGTGGCTGAGCGTGGAAAATAGGAACTTTTTCCCATTCTGTTTTTACGTTCAGCTTGAATTGTAAGGCCTAGAACTTACTTGGATAGAGTTGGAAATTGAATAGGATAATCTAATTTTAAGGAAGCTTAACACAAATCAAGAGAACATTACTTGGAACATAAATTTATGAGTAAAATTGCCTAGTGGTTTTGTTGACAAATGATGGTGCGTAGGTCTCGGGGCAGGGCCAGGAAGAACACTTGCGTGCCTCCTCCTAGGCTGTTCCAAGTGGCAGCTCTTTGATAGCCAGGAAGTGCCTCTGGGCAGATCTGTGCCTCAGCGCAGAGCACTAGACTGAGTGGAGAGGAAGTGGAGAACAAGCACTGTCCTCTCTGAACCTTTCACTGTGTGGAAGTATGTGGATCCCCTGAGCTCGCTTGACCTTCAACCACAGCTCCATCATCCTTGCTTGGCCAGGGAGAAAGCAGCCTCAGAGAAGGTAAATGACTTTGGTCTAGTGTCACAGCTGGTTAGTGACAGAGCTAGGCTTAGAGCCCAAGGTTCTTTGAGTCCGAAATGTCGGTTCTTCCCACCCTGCTGAGCTGCTTCCCACATTGTTATGTAGAAGTTAAGGCAAATAGTATGGAAGGAAAGAAGGTTAATAAGTAAATCGGTGGTCACTGTTTTGATAGAATGTCATAAAACATTTTTGTCCTCAACCTCATTTACAATTGAGGGTGGTTGTCCTGGGTGCAATTGTTAAGGAAAAGTCTCTCCAAATTCATAAAACTGCAGGAGTCTGTAAAATTTTATACCCTGCCTCATTTTATTGTTTCTACCCACCCATAGCTCAGCGTGATCAATCCGTCCCCTCAGGCACAGCCACATCTCCGTAGAGTCAATCATAATCCCACCTGATCTCTGCACACTTTAACCTGGAGAGGGATAGAAGAGGATTCACCAACGAACTCTGTATTTTGTTTTAAGAAAAAAAAAAAAGTATTACCTTGGGTATAAAATTATAGAAGAATTTTATCCTACTCTCTTTGACTCTTTTTTTTTTTTTTTTTTTTTTTTTGTGAGATGGCATCTCACTCTGTCATTCAGGCTGGAGGGCAGTGGTGCGATGTTGCCTCACTGTGGTCTCCACCTCCCGGGTTTAAGCGATTCTCTTGCCTCAGCCTCCTGAGTAGCTGGGATTACAGATGTACACCACCACACCCAGCTAATTTTTTTTTATTTTTAGTAAAGACAGCATCTCACTATGTTGGCCAGGCTGGTCTTGAACTCCTGGCCTCAAGTGATCTGCCTGCCTTGGCCCCCCAAAGTGCCGGGATTACAGGTGTGAGCTACTGTGCCTGACCTTCTCTTTGACTCTTTAATATCTTCCTGATTAACTTAAATACCTTCCCCAGCACCTCCAATGGAATATGGCCCGAACAGAACTCACTGTATTTCTCTTCGTGATCCCTGTTTCTCATAATGACACTACCTTCCTCTAAAGGCTTCATTTTTGGCTTCTTTCCCTGTACAACCTCATTGTAATACCCTGCAAGATCCTGCTGGAATTCTGTGAACCTCTTCACACATCTCATCATTCCGTGCTAATCATCACTGTTCACTTCAGCTACACATTAACTCTGGCCTAATGTTGTGATAGCCTCCCAATAGGTCTTTCCAGTCTTCCCTTGAATGAATTGTTCTGTTACTCTTAACCTTTCTGGTGTCTTCCCATTGCTCACTCCTGAATCCTTGGCCTGAACTGGGGGCTGCCCATGGTCCGCAGTCTGTGGCCTCTGCCTGACTAAGCTCATTTCTCCCCTCCCTGTGTGATCTGCTATCCCTGGTTCTGGGGAGAGTGCTTGCAGGTTCTCTGAGAGTTTTATTTCTTTAAAAGGCATCTGTATCAGAGACTGTTAAGAGCTGAACCGATCAAACTCTTAGAGAAGACTTCTGTAAGTTACTCTAGTATTAGAAACAATCCTCTAGCCAGTGTCCCACGTAGAGTAGGAAATAATTCTATAATCACTCAACCTTCTTTCCTTTGCTCATGCTGATTCCATAACACCAAATCCCCTGATTTTATGTGTCTAATTCCATAATCCAGAGTTTTCACTAAACTCTCCCTGATTCCTTCGGCTCCCTTAGGGTACCTTGTATTTACATTACAATTGTCTAAGTACTTAGCACTCCCAGCTCTAGGCCAGGACTTTCTTATGGGCAATGACAAGATCTTAGTTACAAGGGACAAAAAGAAACATCATGCTTGACACATAGCAGATATTCAATGAAAATTTGAATGAATAAATGAATGAAAGAAGAAAATACATTCATGTGTTCCTTCTTACCTAAGTTTAAGTTGTTTTCAGGTAGAATCTGGGTCTGATTTATATCCTACAGTATTTAGCATTGTGCTTTGTGCATAATAGATATTCCATAAATATTTTTTGAATTAGTGGATAGCTATGTAGTTGATCCTGATATGAACTTTCTGAATGCTACATTACTGTATTTCACTTTCGATAACTTAAGTGCTTTTAATGTAGCTAATATATTTTATTTTAAAATATGTTGATCTTTTGATTGTTACTAGTTTTTAACAGTGGTTATTTTTGTCTTTGAACTTTTTTTTTTTTTCATTGTTGTTTTGTTTTGTTTGAGACAGGGTCTCACTCTGTCATCCAGGCTGGAGTGCAGTGGTGCAAACATGGCTCATTGCAGCCTCAACCTTCCAGGCTCTGGTGGTCCTCCCACCTCAGCCTACAGGGTAGCTGGGACTAGAGGCGCGTGCCACCATGGCTGCCTAGTTTTTGTATTTTTTGTAGAGATAGGGTTTCACCATGTTGCCCAGGCTGGTCTGGAACTCCTGAGCTCAAATGATTCCCCTTCCTCAGCCTTCCAAAATGCTGGGATTGCAGGTGTGAGCCCCCACATCGGCCAGGTTGGCTTTTGCTGCATTCTTAATTTCGATTGTTAACACGTCATGTGTCATGGGTGGAGGTGCTTTCTTAATTTCACAAAGGAAATTAGAAAGAAAAAAGAAGAGTTAATTTTAAGAAAAATGTGAAGGAGCTTATCTATTTGTTATAGTTCCCATCTCTAGGTGTTGGTGGGGTTCTAGGACTAGCAATTTTTTCTGCAATAGTGATTGAGTAGTTCTTTCTAGAGTCATCATGACTCCATCCAGGGACACATAATTTGGATGCTTTCAATGGGAAACTGAGTCAGGCAGCCTTTATTGAAATGCCAGTGGAACATTAGAGGGCATTCCCAAACTTCAGTGAAGCTGAACTGAGTTTCTCTGCCTCCTCTCCATACCAGGATGCTAACAGTTTTGTTTGTTTGTTTTTGTTTTTGTTTGTTTGTTGTTTTTTTTTTTTTTTTACAATGAGGAATGCTTGCCAGTCTTCCCTGACAACCTTTAACTATAGAATATTTTATTTCAATTAGTGAATTAATGGTTCAGTCATCTCTCTATCTGAGGGCTTTGGTTCCAGGACCCCCATGTATGCCAAAGCCTGCAAATACTCAAGGCCCACAGTTGGTACTATAAAACCCAAGAATATGAAAAGACGGCCCTTGGTATACAGGGACTTTGCATCCTGAGAATGCTGTATTTTAGATGCCATTTGGTCGCAGATGCAGAACCCACTCATAGAAAGGGCTGACTGTATCTATTCAAAAAATTCGTACTTAAGTGGATCCATGTGGTTCAAACCTGTGTTGTTCAAGGGTCAATTATACTTGCTTTTAGTCATACTACTTGGTACACGCCTAAGTAGTAATGAAACAAAAAGAACTGACTGGAAAATGTCAGTGATGTCTTTGTGATGAGCGTGCCTTTGTGATCCACACTGCCTTAAGGTTCACTGCTGCTTTTGGTTTTGTTGCTGTTTGGGGTTTTTTGTTTTGTTCTCTTCAAATGGTTTGGTGGGAAAGATGAAAGATGCCTTCATGTGCTTCTTCTGTAGTGTCACTTTAATTCTCTGTGAAGAGGAACATTCCTAACCCATATATGTGAACTGAGCAAGCTAGTTATACCTAGGTTTGTGAAGTTGCCTAAATCTTGCAATTAAGACTTACAAGTGGGTAAATAGAGTCAGGAAAAAAGGTCAGAGGATCTAAGGAGAGGAATTTACTTCTAGGAAATGCTATGAACTTATTGGAAGCAGGAGAGTTTCTCCAGTATATTTTAGAAGGATGACTGAAATGTACAAAACAGAAACAAAATACTCTCTCTTTATGAAATGCGGAGGCATCATCTACACCTGTTGGAGGTGTTCATTTTTTTAGAAATGAACGAAGTATTTGCCATGACATGCTCTCGGAGATAACTTTCATTTACCTTTCACTGGGCGTTATGGGAATCCTGTAGTCTCAAGAGTGGTACATTTTTAGACTTTTGGCCCAGTGTCAAGTCTTTTGAGCAATGGTATAAATCCATTAGATATGTTGACATCTCAACTTCTTTGAAATGATTAAGATTGTTTGCATTGTTTGTCTCTCTCAGAAATGAACACACCTGTGAGTACTGGATGCCTGTGAGCTCGCCATCACCCGCACTGCAAAGACACAGGGCGGCAGCCTCTGAGAAGCGCTCCTTCCCCTTCACCTTGGCCTTGCCCTTCCTGCTCACAGTCCACCATGGAGACGCTGTCCCAGGACTCTCTGCTGGAGTGTCAGATCTGTTTCAATTACTACAGCCCCCGGCGCAGGCCCAAGTTGCTGGACTGCAAGCACACCTGCTGTTCAGTGTGCCTCCAGCAGATGAGGACCAGCCAGAAGGACGTGCGGTGCCCCTGGTGCCGCGGTGTCACCAAGCTGCCCCCCGGCTTCTCAGTGTCGCAGCTCCCCGATGACCCGGAGGTCCTGGCTGTCATCGCCATTCCACACACTTCCGAACACACCCCGGTCTTCATCAAACTTCCCAGCAATGGGTGCTACATGCTGCCCCTGCCCATCTCCAAGGAGCGTGCGCTGCTGCCCGGAGACATGGGCTGCCGCCTGCTGCCCGGGAGCCAGCAGAAGTCCGTCACCGTGGTGACCATCCCTGCTGAACAGCAGCCTCTGCAAGGTGGGGCTCCCCAGGAGGCAGCGGAGGAGGAGCAGGACAGGCGGGGCGTGGTGAAAAGCTCCACCTGGTCGGGGGTGTGCACTGTCATCTTGGTGGCTTGCGTCCTGGTCTTCCTCCTCGGCATCGTGCTCCACAACATGTCTTGCATTTCTAAGCGCTTCACTGTGATATCCTGTGGCTGAACAGGGCTACAGGGAAGTCTCTTGTGGGTGCCAACTTAGGGGTTGAGCAGGTTGATGATGAGATCCCGGTGAGAAGATGGGGGGCGACACTGACCATTTGGTGCTGAGCGCTGGCCTCTGCATTGCCTCTTGATTACCCCAAAACAGACACAAAGGGCAGAAGGTGAGGTCTCAACAAGATACCAAGCGAATTGTTCTGAGTGTTGATGGCAACAGCTTGGAAGATGATTGCATGCATCCTCATAATCATGTATTCAATGGACTGTAATTTATGATTTTTCAAAATCATGTTACGAGATAGACATATTCTACTTAGACGTGAAACTGTACAAGTGCGTACAATGTGACCTTCTCTAAATGTGGTAGATTCAAACAAAGATGCTATGTAGACAAGTAGAATTAAACCTGCGAATCCGTGTAAAAATTCAGTGAAGACATGCACTGCTGGCTTCTTTACTTTTTTTTTTCTTTTTGTTGAAACCCAGTCTTCATTTAGTTGCTAAGGCTTTTATACGTTTTGAATGGCACCAAAACAAAATAAGTCAAAATGGACAGTCCTTTTTTTTTTGGAGAAAATATTTGAACAAGTGTCTCCAATGTGTTGTGTTTTGTCATGAACCTTCATTTTCTTCACTTGTAATTAGAACTTGCTACGTGTTTATGAAACTGAAAGCTCAACAGGGGAGCAATAAACCGAGAAATCATGAGAAATGTGTAATCCCACAGGAAACCTGTATGCCGATTTTTCTCAAGCCATCTCACAAACAAGAATTTCAAATGTAAATACTGTGTATTTGTGTGTGTATGTATGTGTGTCTAATTTGATTTACCTCAGGTGTTTGAGTCTTTGCTGAAGAATCCTGGATTAAGACTTAATTGGGCATGAGTGAGTCCAGCCTCTGAAGCGGTGGCCACTTCATGGACATCTTGACCCAGCAGGGAGTCTCCTGCCCGTCACCTGCAACACTTACCCCTCATCTGTGTATTGAAGTCCTGCCTTTTGTAAGAGGCAAATGGAGAGTAACAGAAGAGTGTCTTTTCTTCTGGTTTTGGAGTCTCGTGCTGGCCATGAGTGTTGTGACTGACGGCCAACCCGGGAGGGCATTTTAATAGATGGTCTGTGATTCTTTTTTGAAAGATGCTCTTCCACAAGAGTTAAGCCAGTTAGAATTCCAGTTTCCTCTTGTTGATATGAGAGAGAAGATCTTCTGCATTTTAACAGTTTTTACTGAGAAAAGTGGCAAGGTAAACTAACAGCTGAAATTCCCAATATAAGTGGACCAGTTCCTCATAAACTGTCAAATATTCTTAAATGTGTAATGATCTATAGATGCTCATGAAGAAAGATCTGCCAGAAGTGAGTGATAAATTCCTATCCCTGGGTGCATGTGCATTCAGAAATAGCTGTGAGCTTTACAGTTCTCATCTAACTTCTTTTAAGGAATTCATGAAGCAAGTGGTATGTGACAAGGACTCCACTTAAAAATATAACTGTTTTTATGTTCCACTGAATCCCTGAAAATGGTGAGGAGGGTGGGGGGAAGTGAAGGAAAGACAAGCAGGGCTAATTCCGAAAAGCAAGGCTAGAAAATAGCCCTGTGAGGTCAAGACAATTTAATTTATTTACATGCTACCTGTTATTTTCAAGCAGCACAAAATATGCATATAAAAGTGATGGAATTAATGTGAAATAAAACAAAAATATAGTGACTACAATACAAAGCTAATACCGCTAATTGGCATGAGAATTTCAACATAAAATTATGAGCTATGATTTTTCAAATTTGTCATAAAACCTTTAGGAAATGTATTTGAAAGCTCAAAATAGAAATTAGGTTAAAATGCCATTTTATTGTGTAAGCTCTTGGACATTATGCAACAAATAATCTAGGATTTATTTCGTATTAATAATTTAGGTATCATATTAGCTGAATACTATCCTCTATTACATAACATAATATACTGTTGGGTTAGTGTCAATTTCTCAAACTCTCCCAGGCTGCTGTAATGCATGTCTGACCTAATTTCTATTTCTCTTGGAGGAAAATACACACACACACACACAAACACACACACACACAAACACAAACACACACCACAGAAATGTTGCATTGAGAATGCTACATTTCAAATAGACTTTACCCTTGCAATTTTAAGCTATGCCATATTCAGATTAATTTTGTGAGTGATATCCGCATATGTTTCTGTACAGTATGAAATGACTGATTCTGTAGTGTAGTACGTGGTAGAGTTCTACTTGTTAAAGTAGGTTAGATATAGACACTAATGTGTGTAATGATAGTGTCCTGTGTTTCTTAGTGCAAATCTGTAAAAATGTCCATAGAACTTTTACTTAAAAACAATCCTGTGCTAGAGCTGCCATTAAGCGTGCAAAATTAATCAGCTGTATGGTAGATTCTTGACCTTAAATTTAACAATAACAACCCAAATCAGATTATTAATTTTTTTTTTTGCGAGTCTTACTGACCTAAGAAACATTGTTTAAATTGTTTAAATGGATTCTACCTGCAGTTATTTGTGTACCTGTTTGTTGGGGTGTGCATTCTTTTGTGTGTGTGTGTGTGTGTGTGTGTGTGTGTGAGAGAGAGAGAGAGAGAGAGAGAGAGAGAGAGAGAGAATCTCAGTCTGCCAGATAGAATTTTATAGGCTTAGTGATGTTTTAATGTTGCTTGGCATCCCATTGCTCTGGCCTCTTCTGGAATTTACCAATGACCCTTACCAAACACATCTACCCATGTGACCAAAGTCCACTGACACAAGAGGCCAGAATTCATACTTGCACATTAATGAAAAGTCACAACTGGAAAGCACAGAAAGTTAGAGCTGAAAGCAGCCTCCGGTGGCTTCATTTTGTAGATTAGTCCATTTTGTAATTCTGCAGACAAGGGGGGATATGAACTTTGCACTGCAGTGTCTTCTTGTTCCATCCTAGGTGTGTCCACATCTCAATCTGGCTATGATCCTTTCTAGGGTTGATGAATACCCTTTATTGAGTCAACTACTACTTTAAAGGATTTTTTTTGTAGGTTTATGTACTCATTTTAGTTAGCATCTACCTCTCTGGGAAAATGAAAGGAGGGTTGACTTAGGGATGAGTATAGATGTTGAAAGACAACTATCAAACCATGTGGTTTGAGTTTTTAAAATTGTAAAACATTGGTGTCCAAACCTCCCACCCCACTTGTATGTAAAGGACAGTGAGTGTTGTGTAAATAGTAAACTATAAGAAGCATGAGTTTTCATCTTTATTAATGATCTTGAAATAAGTAAGAGAATGCTTAATATGTTAAGTAGAGCCAAGAATGCTACTAAGAAGCATTGTCTTTGGAAAAATTTTGTATAATGACTTGGGGCATAAGTTGTGATGAAAAGGCAACTCGGTTTTCGGTTCCAGTCATACTTAGTGATCAGAAAGCTCTAAGATATTTTCTTTAAAAATAGAATTAAGTTTAATTTTTTGCATGGCTTACAGATTGGGTCCCTTGAAGGTTAAACCATGTGATGGTATAACCCGTGAGATCTTCTAGATGGGCTCTGTTCAGTAGGGCTTTCTGTGATGATGGAAATGCTCGAAAACCTGTGCCATCTGGTATAGTAGCCACCAGACTTTTAGGCAGTTAAAATGGGGTTACTACAAGGTAAGAACTGGATTTCAAATTTTATTTAATTTTAATTAGCTGAAATATAAATAGCCGTATGTGTCTAGTGGTTGCCATATTGAACAATGCAGTTCTGGGTGATTGTGCTTGGAGATCTAGCATCAAGGTATTAATGGTGTAACGGTGAGGCTAAGAAAAGAGTTTGTGGGCTAGGAACATGCAGGTGGAAAAAGGCAAAAAATTCCTTTCTGGGCTTAAAAAGTGTATGATCTCAAGTATGACAGTAAAAATTCATTGTTGCCCTTTGGAACTGTTGCTTACAGACTGTAGACCAAGGAATGATCAGTGAAGCTTAAAGAGTGCTTTATTAAGCTGCTTTTCTGGGATCATTAGTTGCATGTGAACCTGTTGTCCAAAAATAGTAGTTAGACAGTAGCTGTAAAACGTTTGACTTGCAAGCTATGCATGACCCGTACTGTGAAATTGGGTCTTGTGGCCAAAAAATAAATGTTACAGGGAAAAAAAAAAAAAAAAGTCTAATGAAATTCCTGTTCACTTCCAATAGCTTATCCAAACTTCATTGCTGTATTAGTAAGGTGCAAATGTAAGAGCAAGCATGCTTTGCAGTGTTCAGACTGGTTTTGTTTGCCCTTGAAGGCCAGCTTGTCATTGTATTTGGTGTGGGCATATGTGGGCATCATTTTTCAGATGCCAGACTAAAATGTAGGTACTATTTTTAGAATGAGATTTGACATTGTTTTAGTCACTTTCTTTTTTAAGCAAAAATTTCAGTTATCACTGAGAGTTGAAGATTTGAAGCTTTGCACAAAAGCACTTCTTTTAACAGTAAAAAGTATTGTCCATGAAATTTAAAGACTTGAAGGTTACTAAAGCTACAAGAATTACTTTTTAGCTAAATAAAAGGAAGCAGAAAATTCAGTTTCAGATATATTTTCCCATAAAGACCCGATTCTTACTGATAATCTGGTATTTATTCCAGTCTAGATTTTGATTTGAAGAGTTCCCATCCCTTTATTTGAAAACTTACGTTGTTTCAAAATTGGTTAGTCTACTTTTCATTGTTTTCCAAATGAAATATATACAAAATGCATTTACTTCATTTTAGCAGAAATGGGTTGTTTTGTTTTTTGGGGTTTTTTTCTAGAACTCACCAATGGGCAAGACTTTCCTTCTTAGCTTGCCTTTAAAAGTCATTTATTTTATTTTATTTTTTGCCAAGATAGTAATCTTTCTTTAGCCTTAAGAGGAAGATAGAAGTTCAAAAGTTATCAGTGCAAGAGGAGTGATACACAAAAGACTTCAATTTCTATCTTTTCTCAGAAAAATGATGCTGCCCACCAGTCAGCATTTTGTTTCCACATAAGAAGTGTCAGGTAGTCAGTCTGTCATCCCTGACCTAGATAGAGAAGCTGTTGCTTGACATTTCCATCATTCTCAGTAAATTGTCACCCACAAGGTAATTCTTACCAAAACAGAAACTACTGAGAAGAATAAGGTAGTCAAGATAATTCAGTAGCTGTTTTGAAAGTAGTAGTCTATTTCAAAAGCAATGATGTTCAGTTGCCGAATTTTGTTCAACATGAGACACTTATTTATATATTTATTTATTTATTTATGAGATGGAGTTTCACTCTTGTTGCCCAGGCCAGAGTGCAATGGCATGATCTCAGTTCACTAACCTCCACCTCCCAGGTTCAAGCTATTCTCCTGCTTCAGCCTCCCGAGTAGCTGGGATTACAGGCATGCGCCACCATGCCCGGCTAATTCTGTATTATTTTGAGTAGAGACGGGGTTTCTCCATGTTGGTCAGGCTGGTCTCCAACTTCTGACCTCTGGTAATCTGCCCGCCTCGGCCTCCCAAAGTTCTGGGATTACAGGCGTGAGCCACCGCACCCAGCTGACATGAAACACTTCTAAAAGATAAGTGGAAATTCAAGCCATTGATTTTTCTGACACAACTGACTTACTACACACACACACACACACACCATGATTTAGCTGTAATTGGAGTTAAAAATCAAGTAAAATCTGTTATTAGTCATGTTTTGCAATTTGTGAGTTATACAATATTGGATTAGATGTTAATTTCTTAACTATTGCTATGGGCTGCATACATTACGTCAAACTAACTACCTTTGGGAGTGTCCATATAAACACTTGAAACTTTTCAAATGTATGAAGAGGTAGGTTCTACTGTATACATTTTATTATGGAAAAGCCCGTTGATCATTAAAGAACATAAGCAGGTGGGGCATTTAATTTCTTCCAAATACCTTATTTTTTGGATCTGCCTCAAGTGGTTAGGGCAAGTGCACCATTATTCCTGAACCCTGCAATTTGGGTTCCCATTTTTCTGCACAAATTTTCTTGCTCAGTCGAGCCAATGACTTTTTTTTTTTCCAGAATTCACTGCCTGGGGTATCCCACTAATATATACATCTCACCTATGATGTAGTGGTGCTTGAAACACTCATCTCATAAGCTAGCTTTTAT